GGAGGGGGTGGGGTACAAATAGGGTACACATTTGGTGTACCCAACATTTTTCAAATTTTAAAGCTCATCTCAAATTTTAGAATCCCTCCCTATTTTTCATTGCCCGCCTAACATCAATCACAGGTTTTGGATCGCTGGGCAGTCTCCACGAGTTACTATTCACTGCCGATCTCAAACCCGCCTTCACCTTGAATTTGTTGAATTTTTGGACCGATTCTTAGAGCTCTAGAATCGTTTTGGGCATGGAAATCCATTCTTCAGCTCAATTTGACGTTTTGGGCGCTGGATTGAGCAAGAATCGCATGTCAACCTTCTCGAGTTACTGTTCATCTGCGACTTTTGAAGGTTCAATTCATCTCGGTCCAAGCTCGTTTGAAGGCCAATTTTTGGGGGATTATGGGCGACTTCGGATGCTCTTTCAACACCTGAAATTGGTTTTCCAAACCGGTTGAAGGAAGCTGCGAATTGAGCAAAAATTTTGGACTCGGAGTCACTGTTCACAGCGAGTTCTTCAAGTCCAGGTTTACCCATGCTTTTTGCTCGTTTTCCATCCCATTTTCTGGTATTCTGTTCGTGATTCTTGTATTTCTAAAGAGTCGAGAATGTCTTCATATTTTCTAAACACTTATATGCATTTTGTATTCTGTAAATAATCTAATTTCAGATGCATGTATTCAGATTTAAAATGGATATAGAAGACATAATTCAATCATTAGATGGAGACCTTTGTCCAATTGAAGCTGGATTGGTGAAGGCAACCACTGACCATCTCTTAACGATCATTGAGGTATGTGTTCTCCCTTCAGTTATTGTCAATCTAAATGACTTGATGTTAGTTTTAGAGTTTTTTCTACTCTAAATTGATGGTTGATAGTCTGATTTTCATTTTACTGATAGAGTTATCAAGAACAAGCCGTACCCAAAGTCAAGGTACTGCCGTGGTGTGCCAGACCCAAAGATCAGGATCTATGATGTGGGGATGAAGAAAAAGGGGGTTGATGAGTTCCCCTACTGTGTGCATTTGGTCAGTTGGGAAAAGGAAAATGTGTCCAGTGAGGCACTTTAGGCGGCACGGATTGCCTGTAACAAGTACATGACAAAGTTTGCGGGAAAAGATGCCTTCCATCTGAGGGTTAGGGTTCACCGCTTCCATGTCTTGCGTATTAACAAGATGTTGTCATGTGCTGGAGCTGATAGGCTCCAAACTGGAATGTGAGGTGCTTTTTGGGAAGCCACAGGGGGTTTGTGCCCGAGTTGCCATTGGACAGGTTCTTCTCTCTGTTCGTTGCAAGGATGCCAATGGAGTCCATGCTCAGGAGGCCCTTCGCCGCGCAAAGTTTAAGTTCCCTGCCCGTCAAAAGATCATTGTTAGCCGCAAATGGGGATTCACCAAGTTGAACAGCTCGGACTATGTGAACTACAAGAAAGAGAATCGTCTTGTGAATGATGGTGTCAATGCCAAGCTCCTTGGATGCCATGGGCCACTTGCAAATCGTCAACCTGGAAGAGCGTTTTTGACGGCTGTTTAAGACACCTTATGGGCACAATCCTTTGTTTTGGCGCATTTAGTGTTCCAATTTTGTGTTCAAGAAGATAATTTCTGCATGGAACTTATGTTTGTTTTTGAATTAATGTGGATTGCAATTATTTGGGTTGATATACATCTATTATGTTTTTTTAATATATATATATATATATATATATATATATATATATATATATATATATATATATATATATATATATATATATATATATATATATTACGGTTTCTATGAATTTTAAAAATAGTTCTACGCTCTATAAATATATTAGTGTTACAAGGGAGTCAACTATTCTTGTAATAAACAACTATGCAAAACAAAACCGTGTGAAACATACAACTAACAATAAAATACTATTTCTTATAAGTTTAAAAACAGTTATAAATTAAATAACCAGACTATTGCTTAGAAATAGTAGTCTTAACTAATTATTGACAACTATGGCAACCAAAACTGTATTTTTAGGTGAAACAGACTACTAATAATAGAGGACCGTTTCTCACAACTTCAAAAACAGTTCTACCCATAATTCATAGACTATTGTTCTAAAACAGTCTTCTATTCCTATTATAAACAACAGTGGCAAAAAAACCATATGAAATAGACAACAAACAATAGATAACTGTTTCTAATAAATTTAAAAACAGATCTAGAATTACAACCCAGACTATTGTTTAAAAAGAGTATTCTTAACTTGTTATTGACAACTGTTGTAAGAAAAACTGTATTTTGAACTGAGACAGACAACTAGTGATACATTACCATTTCTCGAAACTTGAAAAATAGTTTTAAAGCATAGCAGCTAGACTACGGTTCTGTTCCCAAGAAAAACTTACAGTAGTCTGTTTTTTTTCAACTACTGTGTTTGCATAAACAGTAATTAATCAACAGTGGTCTGATGATGTTTTTGGCGTAGTGATTGTACGGACTAATCACTCACTAACGAACAAGAACAACGTCGGGCATTTACGACCTGAAAATATGTAGTTCTCCAGGAGGGTTGCCACAAAAGTTTTCTAGAAGTAATCAAGAGCTCTCCTAAATCCTAATAGTTAAACAAGAAGTGTGTTAACTTTATTCCTTCTCCCTTTATTTTCTTTCTCACGTATGGAGTATTCAAATATGGGACTTGTTGTGCAGAATTCGAGAATAAGAGAAGATATATAAACGAGAAAGCACGACAACAGATTTAACGTGGTTCACCAACGTTGTGTTGGCTAGTCCACGGGGAAGAGGGGGAGCAGTTTTATTTCTGATTGGAGAGGCAAGAACAGAGTACAACAACTAGGGTTTGTGGTAGCACCCATATAAATAGTGCTTGGCGAAACCCTAACAGACTTAGGCCCAAAAATACAGAATTAACAGATAATTAAACAAGCCCAAATAGAATGGGGTTCGGACACCTCAGAATTCGGACATCTCAGAATTCGGATTTCTTGACTTCTCCAGAAATCGGATTTCTCGACTTCTCCGGAATTCGGATTTCTCGACTTCTCCGGAATTCGGATTTCTCAGAAGTTGGACTTCTCCGGATGTTGTAACGAGTCAGATTCAAGGCATTACAACAAATCTCCACCTTGACTTGAATTCTCCATACAGATCCTTCAGATTCAGACGCACTTTGATTGTGCCCGGCCTCCCCCTCTTCCTCAGAGTTGCCCCGCAGGGCTACTAAAAACTTCTGATGTTAAGCAAGTCCAAACAGTGTTGAAACTTGCTTTGCGGAACCGGCTTTGTGAACATATCAGCAGGATTATCAGCAGTTCCTACTTTCTTCACTTGGATTCTCCTCTCACTCCTTAAGAAATGATATCTCACGTTAATATGCTTGGTTCTCTCATGATGAACTTGATCCTTGGCTAAACAAATCGCACTCAAACTGTCACAGTACACTGTAGCCTTATCATGATGCAGACCAAGATCACTAACCAACCCTTTTAACCAAATTCCCTCCTTCGCAGCTTCTGTCAAGGCCATGTACTCTGCTTCCGTAGTTGACAAAGTCACTGTAGGTTGCAAAGTTGCCTTCCAACTTACAACAGAACCTCCAAGAGTAAACACATAGCCAGTCATCGATCTTCTTGTGTCA